CCTGGGGGGCCACGAAGCGCGTCAGGGGTGTGCCGAAATGGGCCCAGTGTGCGCATGGGAACGTCGCCAACGAAGCCTTCGGTATACACGCGGCCTTGGCCACTGGAGCCTCCAGTGGAGCTCCCTTTGGAGCACTGAACTGGGTGGGGGAGGAGCCTGTGGCCGCGGCCATTGGGGCCTTCGGTGGAGCTCCCTATTGGTCCACGAAGCGGTGTTTTGGACAAGGGGGCAGACGCATGCGACCGCGGCAACTGGGGCCTTGAGTGGAGCTCCGTCTGGGGCCACGACGCGTTGTACTGGGTGGGGGAGGCGCATGTGGACCCTCCCGCTGGGGCCTTCGGTGGAGCTTTCTATGGGGGCACGAAGCGTGTGAGGGGTGTGTGCCGAAACTGGGCGGGGAGACGCATGTGGACCCCTTCCACTGGGGTCTTCGGTGGAGTTCCCTTTGGGGCCACGAAACGTGTGAGGGGTGTGCCGAATTATGAGACGGTGCGACGCATGTGGACCCAGCCACTTGGGCCTTCGGTGGAGCTCCATATGGGGCCACGTTCTGTGAGTGGTGCCGGAGTGGGGCGGGGAGACGCATGTAGACCCCTTCCACTGGGGTCTTCGGTGGAGCTCCCAATGGGGGCACGAAACATGTGAGGGGTATGCCGACATTTGGTGTGGATACGCATGTGGACCCTCTCACTGGGGCCGTCGGTGAAGCTCCTCATGTGACCGCGAACCATGTGAGGGGTGTTCCGAAATAGGGCGGGAAGACGCATGTGGACCCTCCCACAGGGGCCATCAGTGGAGCTCCCTATGAGGCGACGAAACGTGTGATGGGCGTGCCGACATGGGCCGGGAGACCCACGTGGACCCTCCCATTGGGGCCTTCGGTGGGTTCCGTATGGGGACACGAAGCGAGTGGGGGGTATTGCCGACATGGGGTGTGGAGACGCATGTGGACCCCTTCCACTGCGGCCTTCGGTGGAGCTCCTTCTGGGGGCACGCAACGTGTGATGGGGGGCTGCCGAAAGGACACTCCAGGGCGCCATTGTCTGGGCCCTTCGCGGTTGCTCCCTGCGTCCTCCGCGTGCGCCGCTGTGCCTGCCTGCGTGCCCCGCCCAGGGAGCCCGCCGCGGGGGGCTTCTCGGGACTCTGCGGGGCGCCGTGCGAGCCGTGCTCGACTGTCGGAGCGGCTTTCGGGGCAGCCCCCCTCGGTGCCGGGCGAGAGGGCTGGGCGTCCCGTGGAGGGAGGAGCAATAGGACGGCGTGCCAAAAAATCGCCCTCGTCACTGTCGGGCGAGAGTGTCAGGCGGCTCGCGCCGTGGAGGCTTCCAACATGTACGAGCCAGCAGTTCCTCCGGTGCTCTCCGTTGTAACGTGCGTCCTGTGTTGCGCGATGCTATGTCGTGCTATGCCCTACTTTTTTGCTATGACAAGGTGGGGAGTTCCACCCCCGCTCCTCACTATCAGACGAGAGTGCTGGGCGACTCGCGCTGGTGATGATTTCCCTGCGGGGCATTTCGGCCTGGGACGGGGAGCCTTCGGCACTGTCAGTCGAGAGTGCCAGATGGCTCGCGCCGAGCAGGTTTCTACAACATGCACGTGCGAAATGTTGGTGGGGTCTCCACCGTTGTGATGTGTTGTTACGTTGCGCGGTGCCCAAGTCTGGTATGTAGGTGATGGCTACCTTGATGCGGCTGGCTACAATTTACTTTAACTTGTTGTAGTTGATTCGCTTGTTCCAGGGTGCTCCTGGAAGTCTCCGTGGCCATCTCGAGCCGTCTAATTGCAGTCGTGTGTGTTTGCTTGAGACCTATTGAGGATACAGTGAGCCACCTTGTAGTATATTGTGCTAGATTGGAGGCCACGTTTTGTTTTCCTGGGGATGCCATTAGATTAGTGGTGTGATGCTGTTAGGGGTGTGAGCATCCCCGAGTTGATCACATCAGTGAACTGGACCCGGGGCGATTTGGCATCCTGCGGAGTGGTCTGGTCAATTGGTTTCTTCGATTCCTCGGGCGGGCGCGCTGATACTGAGGGCCCCCGTCATTGAGAATAAAAGAACCCCGACCCTAATAATATAGTGTTCACTTGGCCTCACTGAGGTCCCCGTCTTTGCATTAGGGGTAAGTATCTTGGCGGTTTTGTCAGATACACCTGCAAACAAGACCCCCTATCCCTAATTTGTTTGGCCCTCCTAACTTAAGTTCCCTCCCAAAGGGTTACGGCGACTTTTGTTACGCGCGCGGCTCAGCGAACAAGGTGTTGCAAGGGCGCCCAGAGCACTCCCAAGCACCCCAAGGTAGTCATGGATACTCCATCATGCGCCGACATACGCCGTGATGTTTCCCCCGCTCTCTCTTTTCATCCTCTCACCCCTCCTCTCCTCCACGCTCCATTCTTTGTTCCCTCCCGCCTCTCCTCCCCGCTCCAGAACGCGAGCGAGAAACGCGTGCCCCCACGTGAAACGCTTCCCCGAGCGTGACGAAACAACCGAACGTGTTACATTTTGGAGTATATGGGAGGGTGGAGGGGAGGAGGTGTGGCAAGGCAAGGAGAGAGACCGAGAGGAGATATGCGGGGAGTTGCGAAGTGGAAACGGGGACAAATGGAGCAGCACAACAGTGGGGAGCGCGGTTGGCTATTTTGCAGCAGCGCGTTCGTTCTGAACATGATGAGTGTACATGCGTATGACACGGGCACAGACCTGAGTTGGAGCGGGACCAGGGTATCTGAGAACGAGCCGTTTTGAGGCCGTCATCGGGTCCTCATGAGCCCTCTCCTGCTCTCTATGGGTCGTTTTGGGGATCTCAAGCCAGTGCCAGGTGCGGCCTTGAGGGCACAGTTGCGAAAGGGACCCAACACCCCCGAGCGGCCACCGTGACGCCGTTCAAGAGGGCCCCGGAACTGCGTGCTCTCGTGTCGCCGATTCCCCCACCCTCTGCGCCGTTAGGATTCGCCAGAACGGTTCAGGGGATCCCGAGAGGGCCCCGCTAGGGATGCGAGAGAGGACCACGCAGCTCCTAGCCACAAGGAAACCCCGAGAGGGCTGGTGGGAGGGGCCCCGTGCTGCTGCACGACGGGCCTCAATCATACCCCGAGGAATTCCACCAAGAGGGCCCCTCTTAGGGGGCGCCCAGATGCCCGCGTTTTGCATCTGCGACGTTCGTTGTTTCCTGTGCCAAGTCAGGCCAGAAGCCTTCCTCCTCCCCATTCCCCTCCGCCTCCTCCTCCTCCTCCTCCTCCTCCTCCTCCTCATTCTCCTCCTCCCTCCCTCTTTCTACTCCTTCTCCTCCTCCTCCTCCTCGCGCTTTCATCCTGAGCCGTCTTTGGCGGCCCCGAGGCCCGGTGACCGAAACCGAGGGATCAGTCGAAGACCTGCTAAAAAACAACCATGCCAGAAATACCATCGCATTGTGCGCGCCTCGTTCGTGGGCGTGCAGATTCTTCAAAGGCGCATGGGCCACGATGCGCACGCGGGATAGTGCACCCGAAATCACGATCGGATCCACGAACAATCGGTTGCCCATGGCACAACGCAGTCTCCATGATCAACACGTTCGCGTCCAATTGGCGCTGTTTGTTTTGTATTGTAGTGTGTACGCGTGTGTTTTGTGATGGGCTGTTTTTCTGAACAGGGGGGGCGCGACCACATGGCCTTGATTCCCCCTCTGACGTAGAAGGGTTCTCTCCTGGTCCTCTGTTTTCCTCGTCGCGTTCTGGTCACATCTCCCTGCGCCGCCTTCCCCCGCCCCCCGATCGCTTTCATTTCCTCCCCCCCTCCCCACCCTTCGGTAATCCTGTTTCTCCTACGTCGTTCCTGCCTCTCCCTGTCCGAGCAGCGCGGCCCGTGGCCGCGCCATTCTGCAGCGGGCACTCCGTCGTGACGAGATTGCCAGATAGACACTCGAGCTGAAGTATTCCTCATCGGCAATCCCTTGCCAGAACTGACGTGCTCCGGATTGTTCGTCGAAGTCCGGCCGCGAGGTTCCCGGTCCAGTAAAGGCAGGCTGTTTTGCCCTGCTGCGGTAGGAACCCGCGCGTTTTGAGCCCTCACGTTCGAAATGATTTGCAGTAGCCAGCACAACCAATCATGCCGATTGATTGTCTGGTGAAAGGGCGAACGTCTGCTCTGATGCAACGACCTTCCCACGGGGACCCTCGGGACTCCCTATGGGGCCACAAAGCGTGTGTTGGGTGCATTGGACTGGTAGAGTGATGAGGAGAGCAGAAGTAAGTTTTGGGAGGTGGAGGATGAGGAGGAGGAGCAGGAGGAGGAGTGAGGAATGCGGGGCGATGTGCTCTCCTCTTTTCACGAGGACCCAACACCACAAGATGGTTGGGAACGAGGACTTTACAACTTCGTTTGCACATTTTGGGCATTCAGTGGTTGTTACCTCTTGGGGTTCTCTTGCGGGCGCTTTTGGAGCCCTATTGTGGCGTCTTTTGTTTGAAGGCCTTCTTGAGGGCATCTTGGGCCGTCTTGGAGCTTTTCTTTTGGGGGGCGATCTCAGGCACCTCTTGGAATTTCTCTATCCTGAGTTGGCAAAAGAAGTCCAGACTTGCTCGAAGGCGACCCAGAGAGGGAAGGGGGAACCGTATTCTGACACGGGATTCCTCCCCATGGACCCCCTGGGAAGCCTTCCAGCACCGCCCTAGGCTTGGCGGGAAATGAGTCAAAGAGAAGGGGGTCCCCTTCGACTCGATTGTGACCTCGACAGCGACCTGGCTCGAGTCACCTCGAGTTTACGAGCAGAGGGTCTCCAGGAGGATTTCGGGAAAAGGCAACGGCGATCGTTTCCGAGGACTACTCCGGGACGACTGGCCCAACCATCCTTCTCTCTCTCTCACACACTGACAAGAGATCGCTGTCTTATTCATTGTTTAGCCGATCGGTTTGGGCCTTCGCCCCCCCCTCCCCCCCCCAAGGTGTAGATCTCAGGCTGTTTTTGGCGCCTGTTTCGAGCCGGTGGAGTCACTCCCACAGGACGCACTGTTGCAAACAGTCGCGTCATGCAGAGATCCAGAGCCAGACCCCCCCTCGCCCCCCCCTTTCCGCCTAATGTCAAAACGCCGAAACGCCGACTAAGATGACGTTCACCAGGGTCGCCGGATTTGATAAGCATGGAATTTACACGCAGCCAACCGAAACAACTCTGATGCTTGTTGCTGATTTGAACGGCCACGATGACGACCGAGTTGCATCCTTCCTGCGCGGCAGTGAGAGCGAGGACATTGACCTGTACACCATGCGCGGTGTCAAGCTTACAAGCGGTGATCGACAGAAATTGGACGCTGTTCAAACGTGTGAGAAGGGTAGCATTATTTACCGTGTTCAGCAGATCCTTGATACAGAGATTGACGATTTCGCTTGGTTATTCCATGAATCGAAACCAGGCAACCACAACTTCGAGCTGTAGTTTTCGTTGCGACGCGAAGGGAGACATCTTGCAGTAGCCGCCTGGAAAAAAGGAGGCCCCGAGGGAACTTCCGGGAGGCCCTGAAAAGGCACAACTGCGTGATTCGACCAGCTGGCGCCATTCCGCCGACCCCGCGCCCCAGGATAGGACACGTGCGGCCTCCGATTTCGTGTGTTTCGTTGCGGTTCCCCGTCGTGATGCTTGCGTGCATGTGTTGCCGGTTTGTCTTTTTCGTCCTCCACGTCTGCTGCAGTTCGTCCGGTAAAAGACCCGAAGTTGGTTCCGGAGTTCGTGGGTGTGCTGTAGTTTACCTCCTCCTCCTCCTCCTCCTCCTCCTCCTCCCCCTTCCCCCGCCTCCTCCTCCTCCTCCTCCTCCTCCTCCTCCTACTCTTCAACCTCCTCCTCGAGGAGCTTTTGGGGGAGGACTCCCAGGAACCCCTGTAAGTTCCCCCTCCTGTGTCTCTCTTGGGCCCTTCTTGCGGCTGAGAGCCTTTTCGGTTGTTGACTGTTTGGATGGCCAAGCTGGTGTTATGGGCCTCGAGATTGCCCCAATAGGAAGCCCCAAGTGAGCGCATAAGTAGCCCCGAGGGGCCACATTGACATGATGTTCGCGAGGCATCTTTACCAGTTTGGAATACTTTCTCCTTCGATCTCAGATTGTCCAAGACGGCCCAAGGCGCCAACGGCCACAGGTGCCTGCGCTGCTGCGGGGCAGCACGAATCCTCGCAACACCGCTGGGTTCTGTACCATGGGAGCCAGGAAAGTTGGGCTGCCGTCGGCCTCCAGCCAAGCAGCGATAGAGAGCTATGTTTCCCGAGTGGGCTCGCAGTTGCCCGCGCACTTCGCGTTCGCCACCCTGGTGCTGTGGAGCTGTCCGCAGCGACCTAGCAAGCTTGCCACACCAGACTCTGCGCCTGGGGGTCATTGTGACGCAGAGCGGATCGCGTCCCTGGCATCCGAGAGCGCCAGTTAGCTTGTGCCATGCACGTTCGAAACGTGGTACGAGAAGCGCGTGATGAAGAAGTTGTTGGAAGAACTCGAGCTGCACCGTGACCTCTGCGTGTTTGTGCTGAAGCTGCTTGTGGTCCCGGGTGGAATGAGCCAAGAATTTGTACAGACGGTCATGGCGCGCCACGACGCGCGCCTGGCTGTCGGTGCCAGCGCTGTGGTGCCTGATGCCCAAATTCGACCCCATCGATCCCAACCTCGTGGAGACACCCAACAGTGTTGGCGATTACTATGTGACCAATCGTTTTGATAACGCAAGGGGCGGTAACGACGTACTGCTTGCCGATCGCTGCGAGTCCGAGAAGGTTGTCCTCAAGATCTACGGCAAGTCGGACCACGTATCTGCTGGAAACCTGAAGTGCATCTACTGCGAATTGCGATTCTTGAGGGACGTGCTCATGCACCCACACATCGTCCACTGCAATCACATGTTCCATAGGTTCTCTCTGGTGTACTTAGCCCTCGAATTCGGGGGCATGCAGAATCTGCGCCAGCGCCCCTTGGACCAGCCAGGGTACCGCCTCGATGTGGAGGATGCTGTGAACTGCACAATGCAGATAGCAGGATCGCTGGTCTACTGTCACTCACAGGACGTCGTGCATAAGTAAGCGTCTCTGGAGCACATCGTCGTGGAGGACCAGTCTGAAAACTGGTCGGTGAACTTCTTCCAGGCGAGGCACTGCCCAGAATCGACGCCGTTGGCCGCGTCGTGCGGAGACCTGCCGTGCATCGCCCCAGAGGTGGCACTGGACGAGTCGTACGTCGCCAAGCCTGCGGACTGTTGAGGCCGCCGGGGGCCTGGGCTCGATGAGGCAGGCGGTCGGCTGGCCGGAGGAGGCGGAGCTGGAGCCCACGGCCAGAAGGATCAAGAATTTCTTCTCCGGCGGGGGAAGCCACGCTCGTGCGCTGGCGGTCATGGGCGGCGTGCGCAGCGAGCCGGTGCTAGCCAATCTGTCCGCACTCCTCGAGCCGACTCCCACAGCTCGGGCGGCCATGGGCGCCATCGCGCAGTCCTCCGCCCAGCCCCGTGTCGCCTCGGAAGGCCCCGAGGTCTGAAACGAGGAAGAACACCTTCTCATTGCGTAGTAGTGTCATGCCATGTCAGGCAGCAGATTTTGACAATGGCATGGTTTGTACGACCATCTGCGCTGTTTAACAGGCAGCATGATTCTCCTATCCCCGACGCGGAATCCTTTGCGCAGTTCTAAAAATATTCTTTGATCTCTATAAGCCGCTGGTGTTCTCACTACCGATGACTCCACGCTCTCCTCACCGTCCTCCCAAGCAGAAGACTGCGAGGGGCTGGATCTTTGATTGCGCCTGGACACTTCGCAAGTGGTGTGTTGTGTGTCACCAGTGCATTCGTCGAACATAGGTCTGATACTGTCGATGGCGGCCCGACCTTGGAGGTTTGCCACCGTGTACTGAAAGGACTGGACTGTCCACTTCGGTCCATGCGCTGGCAATTCCAATATGTCAGTGCTTTTTTTGTTTGGCGGATGCGTCGCACAGTTTGTCGGCTTGGGATCTTCGGCGGGGAGAACCAAGGAGTCCTCCCCTTGCCCTCGTTCACTTCGGGCCTCTTGGATTCTAAGAAAGCCCAAGACGAAGAGGGATCAAGAGAACTCAGGATGCTTCCGAGGAGGCCCCCGAGGGCCTCCGATGAGCCCCAAGACCCCCCCAAGACTGCCAATAGATCATTGGTCGAAGACGCCTACGGCGAATCCCCGCCGCCCCCTGCCTTTGCGGCTACGCCTATGTGGCGAAACGCTTGGGCAAGCGTTGGGCACGCCACTGGACCATGCGTTCCTCCCAGCCGTTGCGGAGACCTTTCGGGGAAAACGTGGGGGACGGACGAGGAGGACGAGGAGAGGAAGGAAAAAGGAAGAGGAAGACGGATGATGATGATGATGATGATGATGATGATGATGATGATGATGATGATGATGATGATGATGATGATGATGATGATGATGATGATGATGATGGTGGTGGTGATGATGATGATGATGATGATGAGGAGGAGGAGGAGGAGGAGGAGGAGAGGCAGGGGCAGGAGGAAGGGGCATCTTGGGAGACTCTGGGGGGCACTCTTGGGGCGGCGCTCCTGGCCCGTCTAACGCCCCCCTGGGGGCGTCTTGGGGGGCCTCCCTGGGCCGACATGGGGCACTCTTGGGCTACTCCTGGGCCGTCTTGGAGGCCACCTGGGGGCCGCCCACGATCCGATTCGATGCGACTCGATTCGCCGGCTGGGGCCGCGATTCCAATTCGATGCGATCCGGCTCCGTTCACCGGCATCGGCCAGGGCCAGCCGGAAGTGGGGCACGGCAATTTGATACCGATCCGATTCGGGACGATTCGTTGGCGATTCGAGCCGCTCTCGATCCGATCTGATTTCGCGGTCCGATCCAGCGCAGACCTGCCATCTTGGGGCCCCCTTGGGGCTGTTATGGGACCATTTTGGTTGCTTCTCGGTCGCTCTGGGGGCGACCCCGGGGGCCTCTTGGGCCGTCTCGGGCCGTCGGAAGGCCGAGGAGAAGCAGATGCCAAGATCCATGTACGTGAGACCCAGGGGACACCATGATTTTGGCCTCTTCGGGCCTTCCTGGAGGTCCTCTTAGAGGCCTCTTCGGCCGTCTTGGAGGCCTCTTGGGGGCCACTTAGACCGACTTCGGTCAGCCTGAGGCCAGCTTTGGTGGCCGTTTGGGTGTCTTCTTGGGCGAACTTGGAGGCATCTTGGACGTCTTGGAGGCCATCTTAGGCAATCGTGGGCGAAGTTGAGGGCCATCTTTGCCGTCTCGGGCGTCTTGGAGCCATCTGGAACGGGAGAAACGTTGGCAACCACATCTGGGAGAGCCTTTGGAGGCCTTTGTGCGCGGCAGCTACGTCGGCGATGCTGAGCTGGAATCGGCGCCGACGAGACTACGATTCTTGCTCCGTTGCTGAACAAAAAAAGAAGAGCCTTCAGGGTGGCCGGCGCGCTGGGCCGAAGCCCCAGTCGGGAGCCTCGAGACGGGGGTCAGTGCAAACGGGGGTCAGCCAGGGCGCCGGATCCTGCAGGATCCTGCGAAGGCCCCCTCTGGCTGACCCGGGTTAGGGAGCCGCTCGTGGCCGCGAGGCGGCCGCGCGTATTGGCTGACCCGGGTTTGCGAGGACCTGCGTTGCAGTTTTTTTTTCCTGCATTGCAGTTTTTGGTTTCCTGCTGACCCAGTTCTGGATTGACCCGGGTCAGAAGATCCCCGACCCAGGGCGAATTTTTTGGAAAAAGAATCAAGACCAAGAGCGGTAAGGTCTAGTACGCCAGGCACCCCTGTGATAAGTCAATAGGGGTGGGCGGATCGAAGTCGCCGACAGCGAACCACCGCCGCCCTCTGCCTTCTGGAATCGCCCGTGTGGCCGTTTTGGTGCCATCTTGGAGGCCGCAAGGGCCATCTTGAGGCGATCTCGGGGGCCTTTGAGGCCGTCTTGGGCCGTCCGAAGGCCGAAAAGAAGCAAATGCCCAAATCCTTCAACAACCCAAGGGACATCAATGGTTTTGGCTTCTTGGGGCCTTCCCGGAGGACCTCTTGGGCCTTCTTGGAGGCCTCCAAGACGGCTACAAGAGCGTCCCAAGACGGTCCAAGACACATCCAAGACGCCCAACATGGCGTGGAAGACGACTTGTGAAGACCCCAAGAGGGCCCAAAGTCGGTCCAGAGAAGCCTCCAAGACGGCTTCCGACGGCGTCAGACGGTCCAGGAATGCCTTAAGACGGGCAAAGCGGGCCCCGAGAAGTCCCCAAAGGCCCCCACGAGGCCCAGGGATGTCCCCAAGATGCCTCCGAGAGGCTCCCAGGAAGCTCCCAGGAGGCCCCAAGAGTGCCGTCAGAGGCTCCTAAGATGTCTCCTCCTCCTCCTCTTCCTCCTGATCTTCCCCGCCATCCTCCCCCAAGTGTTCGGTTTCCACAACGGCTGGGGGGACACATGGTCCGATAGCTTGGCAGAGCTCTTGCCACAACTCTCGGCCACATTGGCGATTCCAAAAAGCAGAGGGGGGCGATGATTCGCTGTAGGAAACTTCGATCCGCAGACCCCCTTTGGCTTACCACAGGGGTGTCTGGCGTGCTCGAAGCCCTGCGGGGTTCTTTTTG